ATTCTTCACATTTGTAGGATTTCTCTCCAGTATGAATATTCTTATGTTTACTAAAGGTTGTGGAGCACCTAAAAGATTTACCACATTCTTCACATTTGTAGTGTTTCTCTCCAGAAGAAGTTATGTTATGACTTCTAAGCTGTGAGTACCGGCTAAAAGTTTTGCCACACTCCTCACATTTGTAGGGTTTCTCTTCAGTATGAATTAACTTATGTCTAGAAAGGATTGAAGAGTGGTTAAAAGCTTTGCCACATTCCTCACATTTGTAAGGTTTCTCTCCAGTATGAATTCTCTTATGTCTAGCAAGGCTTGAGGAATGGTTAAAAGCTTTACCACATTCCTCACATTTGTAGGGTTTCTCTCCAGTATGAATGATCTTATGTCCAGTAAGGGTTGAGGAGTTGTTAAAAGCTTTGCCACATTCCTCACATTTGTAGGGTTTCTCTTCAGTATGAATGATCTTATGTCTAGTAAGGTCTGAGAAGTACTTAAAAGCTTTGCCACATTCCTCACATTTGTGGGGTTTCTCTCCAGTATGAATTCTCTTACGTGTAGTAAGGTGTAAGAACTGGTTAAAAGTTTGTCCACATTCTTCATATTTGTAGGGTTTCTCTCCAGTATGAATTTTTTTATACGTAAAAATGTTTGAGGCCTCGTTATAGGCTTTACCACATTCTTTAAATTTGTAGGGTCGTTCTCTGGTATAAATTCTTTTATGTTCAGCTAAGTGTGAAAGTGTGCAAAATGACATTTTATATTCCTTACATTTCAAAGGTTCCTTTTCACTTTGTCTTATCTTATATCTGTTTGAATTTGAATATTTATGAATGACTTTCGCAGATTTGTTGCGCTGAAATCTTTTGCTCTGCGTAGTTGTCAAAACCTGATTAAGTCCATTGGAACATTCTTTGTGCACCTTACACTCATCCGTGCTTTGACAACATTTTCTTAACAGCCAATTTTCACGTCCACATTTTTTATATCTTCTCAGTATCACTTTTTGGAAATGATTATTTATGCCCTGCTTTGGCCAAAGATCTTGGGCAAAATAAGAACATGCAACTGAAAGAAAAAAAAATTGCTCTGCTTACTCTACTCAGATTAATACACAAGTCTTACCTATAAAATTATACAAACTACATAACAAGGTGGCATAGCAAACTTTTACAGGCTCAAATTTTTTCAAAGACATATAAAGGTAATAGAGACATACAGACCAAATTACATTTGTAAAAAAATAAATTGTGTGCTACGCACCAGGTGAGCTTAATGCAAAGAGCCACATAGAACAAAAGTTTCTTATATTTACCCAACACAGATCTTCCTGCTTCCCAATATCACATAGTGACTTGAAATAAATTGCCAACTGCTGGTTTCCTTCTTAAATAACAAGTAAAATTCTGCCTTATATATTTTTATTTCTGAATCATACAATATTTTACAGACACCAGTTGCTGTCTCTCATTACATCAAGTTCTGAAATTGTGGTATTCTTTCAAATGACAATTTGAGTCTGCTGAGACAGAAGGTAAGTTCTATAGCAACAGAAAGACTGTGGTACCACAGACATAAAGCAATCGTAAAAAGTGATTATTGGTTATTAAGAAGAAACATAAATGGCTGAGTGTGGTGGTTCACAGCTGTAATCGTAGCACTTTGGGAAGCTGAGGTGGGTGGATCACCTAAGGCCAGACGTTTGAGACCAGTCTGGGAGGCATAGTAAAACCCAGTCTCTACTAAAAATACAAAATGAGTTGAGCATGCAGATACATGCCTGTAATGGCAGCTATGTGGGTGGCAGAGACAGGAGAATCACTTGAACCTGGGAATTGCAGGCTGCAGTGAACAAAACCATGCCACTGCACTCCAGTCTGGTGACAAAGAAAAATTCTATCTCAAAAAACCACCTTCTAAAACAACTGAACTCTGAAAAGGTATATAGCACTGCATATTCCTTACTTCTGACATATAAAAGACGCTAAAAGCAGTTGCTTAAATTAAGGCAATTTGAGAAAACAGCACATAACCAAATATATAGACATTATTTTTTTGTGAAAGATTTGCACATACACGAAAACACAATCTTGTGACATTACATAATGATGTAGAAAACATTTCAAATTATTCTTTAATATTTTAAAAATAAAAACATAAAAATCAGAAACATCTATTAATGAATATACAATGTAAAAACATAATTACCAACATCAACGACAAATGTCAGGGCAGACATAAGAAAAAAAGTTTTTTTTTTATTCAACTGAAATTTATTTTGTAAAAAAATAAAAATATGCTGGTTACTTTTATATAGGTTTTATGTAAGCCCCAAGATACCATTAAAAAAAAATTCTGTACAGATACAAAAAAGGAAATTAGAAATAAGTAAAATCATATCAAGACACAAAACAATACAGAGAGTAAAGAAAAAACAAAGATGTAAGAATCCAATAAAATAGTTAAAACATAACATTGCCTTTCTCTTTCAGAAAATTAAATACATATATAAAATTAACTTAGAAATGAAGAGACATGGCCGGGCGCAGTGACTCAAGCCTGTAATCCCAGCACTTTGGGAGGCCGAGGTGGGTGGATCACGAGGTCAAGAGATCGAGACCATCCTCGTCAACAAGGTAAAACCTCATCTCTACTAAAAATACAAAAATTGGCTGGGCATGATGGTGCGTGCCGGTAGTCCCAGCTACTCAGGAGGCTGAGGCCGGAGAATTGCTTCAACCCAGGAGGCAGAGGTTGCGGTGAGCCGAGATCGTGCCATTGCACTCCAGTCTGGGCAACAACAGCAAAACTCAGTCTCAAAAAAAAAAAAAAAAAAAAATTAAGAGACATAATTTCAATACATAAATTTACTAACTGTTGAAAAACCAAGATCCCCTTTTTATCCACAAAAGTCAACTGAGATCAACTGATTAAACACACACACACACACACACACACACACACACACACACACAGAGAAAAGGGTAAGATGGAAGTAGACATTTAATGGAAATATTAATCACATGAAAGCAGAGGAAATCAAAATAATATTATGCAAGGTAAATGCAATATTATACATCTTAAGTCAAAAATGGTCACATTTTAAAAATGTACTTCAAGTCAAAATTCCAAGGAGACAAAAAAGGACATTAAAACTTACAAATTTACGTCAGGTGCAGTTGCTCATGCCTGTAATCCCAGCAGGTTGGGAGGTGGAGGCAGGTGAATCACTTGAGGTCAGGAGTTCAAGACTCAACTCACCAACATGGTGAAACCCCAGTCTCTACTAAAAACACAAAAATTGCCAGGCGCGGTGGCTCAAGCCTGTAATCCCAGCACTTTGGGAGGCCGAGGCGGGTGGATCACGAGGTCAAGAGATCGAGACCATCCTGGTCAACATGGTGAAACCCCATCTCTACTAAAAATACAAAAACATTAGCTGGGCATGGTGGCGCGTGCCTGTAATCCCAGCTACTCAGGAGGCTGAGGCAGGAGAATTGCCTGAACCCAGGAGGCGGAGGTTGCGGTGAGCCGAGTTCGCGCCATTGCACTCCAACCTGGGTAACAAGAGTGAAACTCCGTCTCAAAAAAAAAAACACAAAAACACAAAAATTGACCAGGCATTGTGGTAAGTGCCTGTAATACTAGCTATACTGTAATCCTAGGTAATATTGTAATGATGTTCATCTTTGTCAGTGCAATCTACAGATTTCTTTTTTTTTTTTTTGACATGCAGTCTCACTCTGTCACCCAGCCTAGAGTGCACTGGTGGGCTCTCAGCTCACCACATCCTTCACCTCCTGGCTTCAAACAATTCTTCTGCCTCAGCCTCCCAAGTAGCTGGGTTACATGTGTGCACCATCATGCCTGACTAATTTTTGTATTTTTATGTAGAGACGGGGTTTCATAATGTTTGTCAGGCTTGTCTTGAACCCCTGACTTCATAATCTACCCAACTCAGCATCCCAGAGTGCTGGGATTACACTTGTGAGCCACCACACCTGGCTGCAATGAACAGATTTAATGCAAAGTTTTTCAAATTTTTCATTGCATTTTGTAAGAAATACAAACAGCAATCCTGAGTGTATAGAATCTCTACAGACAAAATATTAAAAAGAAAACAAAACAATGTTGGGGGCATTATATTTCCTGATTTCAAAACACATTAGAAAGATAGAGAATTAAAACAATTTGATATGAGTATAAAGGTGAAAAAGTAGACTAATAAAATAGAATGGTCCGGGCGTGGTGGCTCACACCTGTAATCCCAGTACTTTGGGAGGCTAAGGAGGCTGGATCATGAGGTCAGCAGTTCAAAACCAGCCTGACCAACATAGTGAACCCTTTTCCCTACTAAAAATGCACAAATTAGCCAGGCATGGTGGCAGATGCTTGTTATCCCAGCTACTCAGGAGGTTGAGGCAGGAGAATGGCTTGAATCCAGGAGGTGGAGATTGTGGTGAGCTGAGCAATCCATTGCACTCCTGCCAGGGTGACAGAGTTAGACTGCATCTCAAAAAATAAAAATAATAATAATAATAATAAATGCAATAGGATGCAGCACATATATGAAAACTCTGACATATATGGCAATATAAACAAGAGACCCTTGCATACCCATAATTATCTTACCATTGTTATTGAAAGCCAATAGGTAAAAGCAATGCAAATTTCTGTCACCAAATAGTTCAGTAGATATAATTTAAAATATAAAAATACAAAAATATTTACTCAGTTTGCAAAACAGCAGAAAGTTTTCTAACTATAAAGGGAAATCTTGATGATATTATGCAAAATAAAATGAGCCAGCCACAGAGACGTTATGAGATATATAAAGCAGTTACTCTTAGAAAGAGAAAAGTGCCAAGAAATGGGAAAAAATGGTAGTTGTTTAATGTGTATGACAAAATTTTCAGAAATCTATGATAAAACAATGTAAATATACTTAACATGCCTGAAATGGAGACTGTTTTTGAGTCAGGGTCTCACTCTATCACCCAAGCTGGAGTCCATGACATAATTATGGCTCACTGCAGCCTCATACTTTCAGGTTCAAATAATCCTCCCTCCTTAATCCCCCAAGTAGACAGGATCGTACTACTATGTCTGGCTAACTTTTAAAATGTTTTATAGAGATGAGGTCTCCATATGTCTCTCAGGCTGTTCTCAAGCTTTTGGACTCACGCAATCTTCCCTCTATGGCCTCCCAAAATCAGGGGATTAAATGTAAACCACCACCATCACTGGCCATGAAAGGTACACTTAAACAGACTGAAGATGGTAAATTTTAAAGAATTATACATCTTTCCAAAAATTACCTTCAAGTCACAGAACTGTTTCTCTCACACAAAGAAAATATATCTTTATTATTAAATACAAGGTGAAAATCAGACTATTTCCATCACTACTCATTTAGACAAGATAAAGCAATCATTAAAAATCAGCAAAGAAAACATAAATACAGGCCGGGCATGGTGGCTTTTACTCATTAGAAATACATACGTGGCCGGGCGTGGTGGCTCAAGCCTGTAATCCCAGCACTTTGGGAGGCAGAGGCCGGTGGATCACGAGGTCAAGAGATCGAGACCATCCTGGTCAACATGGTGAAACCCCGTCTCTACTAAAAATACAAAAAATTAGCTGGGCATGGTGGTGCGTGCCTGTAATCCCAGCTACTCAGGAGGCTGAGGCAGGAGAATTGCCTGAACCCAGGAGGCGGAGGTTGCGGTGAGCCGAGATCGCGCCATTGCACTCCAGCCTGGGAAACATGAGTGAAACTCCGTCTCAAAAAAAAAAAAAAAAAAAAAAAAAAAGAAAACATAAATACAAGATTAGCCATACAGGCATATATAATCAGATTGTAACAGACATACGGTTGATTTATCTCTTAATTAAACCCCACACCTACCTACGGGTATACACAGACTTGCAAATTGTCTAAAATTGTAAAACAAACAAACACAATAAAGTTATGTTAAAAAACCTACACTGAGAAAACATGCTAATATGGAATTGCAAAACAATAAATGTTTACTCATAAAATCTGGAATGCAACATTGATGAAGCATTACAAAGAATCTGCGTGGATAACTACAATAGCTTACTGCAACTGTGAACTCATTGAAGATGACTATTTTGAATCATTGGCATCCACTGTAATGCAGTAAAGTTTCATATAAAATGCCATATAATCATAAACAGAAGATTCTAACAACAAACTTTTGATAAATAAGCATTTAAATGAGATAATTTTTAAGTTTTAAACACATGCTATTCTTACAAAAAATAAAACTTCTGTAATCTAACTTTAGAAGCAAACAATAGCCTTACATCGCGAAATAAAGAAAATACATATCGATTTTGCAGAATACTGTCAGAGCCTCTGAGATATAAAACAAATATTTGGTAATGATTTATGCTTTATTTTAGATATAGGCTGACAAAAATGAGTGAAAATCTTATAATCTTTATTTAGCTGCCTACATTTACTTTTTGCCTGCCTACTAATTATCTAATTCACTTCAGGCATAACATATAAATTCTAGTATATTGTCATAAATGTCTAAATCTAAAATTACAGACAAAATGAAAATAGAAAATAGAAAGTAAAAACGTCCAGGGAGAGTGACATCACTAAGATGGGAAAATAAAAGGTGCCCTATTTGCCTATTTTCTGACAGCAAGAAAATTCATCAGCCATCCCTAACAAAAATGCCTTTAT